ATGAGCCAAAAGAAGTTCCGCGATGACGTGACCCCGTCCCGGCGCCGGCCGGGCCTGCGGCCGGGGGGAGCGGCCCGCCCGGGTCCCTCGGAGGGAGGGGGTGTGGGGGGCTGCAGCCTGCTCGGAGGGGTCCCTAGGCCTCTTGAGAGGGACTCTTCTCCTGGAGATACACGGCGGGGCAGATCCCCGCCGTTGAGGGGCTCAGTCTCTTCGTGGCGTCTCTGATCTTCCTTGCAAGCGTCCCTAGGGGCTCCGATCGCCCTTGCAGGGGTCCCTGATCCTCTCGTGGGGGCTGCGATTCCGTTAGGGGGTATGTCATCACATAACCTTTTAGGGTTCCCCAGTCCTTTTGTGGAAAGGTACAGTGCTGTCTCGGATTCCCCTCATAAGGGTCCCCAGGTTCCTTGTGATGGAGATCCCATCGGTGGGCTGCAATCCTAGGGAGCATCTTGGCCTCACTTGCTGGGACCACAGGCAGTTGTCTTCAGGGTAGCATTGGAGAAGGCACTTATTCTCCTCTGGGGGTCCCCAGTCTCTCTTGTATGAACCACTGTCCCCTTGGTGGGGTTTGGAGGATTTCTAATTATGAGGCAATCCTGGGTGATCCCCAGGAGAACTGGAGATCTCCAGTCCACTGTGGGAGAAGCCCTCATCCAGTTTGGAGAAAGTATTTTGGCCCTGATCCATCTCTGGGGATGTTCAGTACCCTGCTTAGTGACTGATCAGCTCAGGGTGAGAGGGAGCACAGGGTGGCCCCAAACGCCCTGAAGGGTGATTGCCTCATTCAGACCTTGAGAAGCAATTTTGTCGCTCCCATCTGCCTGAGAGGGAGGGTGAGGGTAGCCATGATTTCCCTTTGGGCAGGGTGGGTGTAGCAACAGGCCCAAGGGGTGCACATCTGGAGCACTGGGAGGTCCCTTTTCATAGATTCATAGAGTGGTTTGAGTTGGAAGGAACCCATAAATGTCATCTAGTCCAGCCCCCTGCAGTGAACAGGGACATCTTCAATTAGATCAAGTTGCTCAGAGCCGCATCCAACCTGACCTGGACTGTTTCCAGGGATGGGGCATCTACCACCTCTCTGGGCAATCTGTGCCAGTGTCTCATCACCCTCATCTTAAAAAAAAATAATAATTTCTTCCTTGTATCTAGTCTATACTCCCCTCTTTTAGTTTAAAACCATCATCCCTTCTCCTGTCACTACAGGCCCTACTGAGAAGTCCATCCCCATCTTTTTTATAGGCCCTATTTAAGTACTGGAAGGCTGCTGTAAGGTTTCCCTGGAGCCTTCTGTTCTCCAGGCTGAACAACCCCAGTTCTCTCTGCCTTTCCTTATAGCAGAGGTGCTTCATCCCTCTGATCATTTTTCTGGCCCTCCTCTGGGCCTGCTCCAAACAGGTCCTTGTCTTTCTCATACTGACAGCTCCTTTCTTCTGGTTCTGGCTCTTTTTTTTCCCTTCTTCTCCTGTTACAAATACATGCTTTTTCTCTGGAGATTCCCCCTCTTTTTTTACACTTGTCTATTCATTTGGACCCAGATGCCCATGGGACATGAGTGTCCCTTTCTGATTTCCACCAGAGTTGTGCTCCAAAACTGCCTCCACTTAGGTTAACTCTGCTTTTAGTTTAGCATTCTCCATTAATAGGTTTCTTAATGTGCCTTAGAGAAGGGAAGTAAAGCAGCCTCTGGATATTTGACTGTCTTGTTCTTCACCTGTTTCTGCCCTCCTCTCCCTTTTGCCCAAGCAGTTTAAATCCTATTCTCTTCCTAGTGACTACAAGCAAAAAATCTTCACTGCTTTACAACCAGATCTTTTTGTAAGAGGAGGGAGTGGAGCTCCCATGGAATGAAATTTGCTGTAGATACAATCATCTAGTAATGGAAGAGCATTATACTAGGCAAAAAAAGGATGAGGTTGAATATCCTATGTCTGGGTGCTTTTTGGGCAGCTTTGATGACTTCAACCCTGTGCCAGAGGTGACCAGACTATCACAGGCCATAGCTTGAGTTTTCCAGGACCCCATCCCTTCCTTACACGTGTTTGTATCAGTGTTTGTCAGGCAGGAATCCAGCAGGTATTTCCAGTGCTCTTGCACAACTCCTGGATGGGTCATGAGTGGACCTGGGTAGTCTATCCCGTTCCACAAGGGACATAGAGGACTGCTGGGATGTCCTGTCTCTTGACCCCTCTCACATTGGTCTGGAAGCTCTTGGCTTCAGGCAGAGTTTTGTTTGTAGCTTGCCCAGTCAGGAGGAACACTCACCCCATGTAGGCTGAGTTAAGGTATCTTCTGTGGCATCTCCAAGAAATTGTACTTATAAAATGTTACTTTAAATCCTTTGTGAGTGTTGCAAATTCACAGAATCACAGAATGGTTAAGGTTGGAAGGGACCTTAAAGATCATCATGTTCCAACCTCCCTGCTATGAGCAGGGACACCTCCCACCAGACAAGGCTGCAGAAGCCTTATCCAACCTGGCTTTGAACAACCTCCCTGAGCAACCTATTCCAGTGCCTTACTACCCTCTACCAAAAATAAATGAGACTAAGTATATATTTTTATTTTATAGAATGGCTTCAAATGTCATTGCATGTCTGAGTCCCACCAGAGGCAGTTGCTACTGGCTTCTGAAAATCCTCAACAATTCATGGATTACTTTTCTGAGTAAGTTTGCTATATATTCTTGCCCAAATCTTCCTTCCTGTGTCACATCTGCATAACCACACCTCTAAAGCCCAGTCATGTCCCACTCAAGACACTTAATTCTGATGCATTTTAGTGTCAGCTTGCTTTTTAATCATAGAATGGTTTGGGTTGGAAGGCACCTTAAAGGTCATCTAGATCCAACCCCCCTGCAAGGGCAGGGACACCTCCCACTAGACCAGGTTGCTCAGAGAAAGGAGGAGAGTTCTTCCCTCAATGCTGAGCCCGTGCTACTCTTGGTGCAGCCCTGGAAGCCCTGAAGCCCTTTTCTGTGCAGCCCAAGTGCACCATGAGCTCCCCACTGCTCCCAGGAGACCCTGGCAAAGGGTCTTGTGTCCAGGCAAGGGGAGAGAAAAGCATTGGAGAACATGGGCATTGATCCCACTTAATTTAAATTCATTTGAAAAGTCACATGATGTCACTTTCTGATGCACATCAGAGGTTCCAGGGAACCATGATGTTGAACCCAGTTTGACAGTTTCCTGTAATGTCTGAGCCCTGTTCCAAGCTGCTCTGTCACAGAGCATGTCACTCTCTGCCCCAGCTACATGAGAGCCACACCTGAAGAGTGACAGACCTACAAGAACCACTACAGAGAGAGAACAAGTCAGGGGTGTGTCCGACAGTGTCCCCCCAGTCCTTTGTCCAGCTGACCTAGGTGACAGCCGGGTTGACTGGAGCTGTCTTCAGCAGGCGCCTGGAGCCAGGCTTTGTGCTCAAGGCCTTTAATTAGCTCTGAGATGAGTGATTAACCAGCCCCATCCACCCGTGCTGCCTTTTGTCCTGCCCTGTGTTTTGTGTCAGGGAAGATACCTGGCAATGAAAGACCAGCAATTAGGGGGAAGTGTTTAGATTTCCTTCTTTCCATTGTATCCCTTTGAAAGGGAATTACCTTTTGAAGATTTAACCTGTGTGTGCAGGTACCAGGTTGTGTTTCTTTGTGGGTACAAACCACGTTTAATGCTATTTTACTGAAAAAGGGAAACGAGTATCTGAATTGCATTGTGCTCAGTTTAAAGGAATACTCATTTTTTGGACTGCAGATATTTCGTTAATACTGACAAGAGAAAAATGCTTTGTAATTGTTCCAAGTTTTACTAAAATTCTTTCTTTTTATTCCCTGAGGGAATTCCGAAATGATTTCCTAGAGCTGCTCAGGAGGCGATTCGGTAAATACTTTACTGTTTGTTTGCTTGTTTGTGTGTTGCTAATGTCTGTTATTTGTTCAGAACAAGAAGTTTTGGTTTCTTTCTTCCAGCTCCCATGTTTATGTTTAATAATGCTAGTTCTGTATTACAGGAACAAAGAGAGTCCACAATAACATTGTGTACAATGAATATATCAGTCATCGAGAACACATCCACATGAATGCCACACAGTGGGAAACACTGACTGATTTTACTAAATGGCTGGGGAGAGAAGGTAAATGTAGTTGCTCAGGGTTGGGAACTTTTAAAATTATTGGGTAATTGCTTTGCTGATAAGCGATCAGGAAACATTTATGTTAGTTCTCCCATCCCCCTTTTCTTTCTTCCCCTCCCCTCTCTATATATTAACATATGTCTGAGCATATTTCTTTACTAGCCATTAGGAATTTGCTTACGAAAATAAGTCTGAGATAAATGCATCAATCTTGAACCTTTCCTTGTTTCATCTGTTAGTCTATATTTACTGGAAGTATCACTAAGTTCTAACAACTTCCAACAGTTGCCATTTAAAAATGAAAAACTGTGATAGAACATTTCTTACAACTATAGAATCCTTCTGTCGCGAGCCGGTACCAGAGGGCTACCGGCTGTCAGGATGTTTTCGCGACTTTCCCCCCCCCCCAATGAGGAGAGGTTTGTTAAAAAGCCCGAGCATCCACCTCTCTCAGAGGAACGGCCGCTGAGGGTTCGTTTCTAAGAGGGTAGATTAAAGTACCCTCCCACCACGTTCACAAATTATTACTGAGACTAATGTTTAGTTTGCAATTAATCAATTTATTAAGGGATAATACAAACTAAGGGATCAAGGTTCAGGAGAGGTTAACTAGGTATGTATATTGGAAAAAGGATTTAAAGGCACTAAGGTTTGTGAAAGCACACTCCGAAGGAGAGGTGTAAATCAATGAAGTGAAAGGGTAGGAGTTGAGCCTAGCAAGAAAGTTAAAGTGTGTGTGTGTGGTGTGTGTGTATTTACCCTCCTTCCTTGCGTAGTGCAGTTCTCGAAATGTGCTGGCAGGCTGGGCTGGAGATCTGCAGGGGGGCCTGCGTCCCAGTAACCGGGGCGACCCAAAAATGCAGGCTGGGCAGGCTTCTCCGGTCCGGTTCGGTCCAGGCTGGGCAGGCAGGGTCCCTGGGAGCGGGCACAGGCGGTGCCCCCCTCTTTGCTTCTCCTCGCAGCGGAGTGGCACTCAGGCAGGTTCAGGTGCTGCAGCGGGGTCTTGTCCCAGGCAGGCAGAGAGAGCGAGCAGAGACCCCCAGAGAGCAGATCCTACTCTCTTCTTATAGATCAGAGACCATTGTTCCAGGAAGCACCACGGTCTGAATTAGCCAATCACCATTGGCCAGGTACATATTCTGTTAGAGGCAGTTTTTAACCTATTGTCTATTTCTCTGCCACTTATTATGACCCTTGTGCTGCTTCTTTGCTCTGCACTTATCTGGTAGTGCAAGAGGCCTGCTCATTCTGTCCTTGAGTGAATCAGTGAAAAGGCATCACTCCTGTCTTGCTGACTTGAAAGGCATTTGTTGTTTAGTCTTCTGTAGAGGGGAAAAAGAGGGACTGTTCCCCACACCTTCCATATTTAAGGTGACAAGAAATGAGCAGTTTTCATTCCTAGCCTGCTGACAGGGTTAAAGCTTGAGATCTGCAGTTTTGTGTTCTGGGGGAGGAAGAGGGCTTGAATGGCTCTGTGGTGTGGCAGAAAGTTGACTTTGGCTCTGATTGCCCATGCCCTACAGGATACATTCATGAGCTGTGGAGTGTTTGAAAAGTCACTCTAGTGAGAGTTAGTAACAATACTGTGGCAGACTGAAGTTTCCTTTAGTGTGATGCTGTTAGTGTGTATTGTTTATATATGTTGGATATCTGTTTTCTTGTTAAAACAGTGGGAAGGAAGCATTTTCTTCAATAAGGAAAGTGTTCTAAAACACTCCATCCACTTTATTACACTCTCTGGCATATTTCCAAATAGAACTGGCCAGCTGAAACATACACTAAAGATCATTCAAAGTCAATTTTACCAGGCCAGTAAGGGGAACATTGTTAAAGTATCTGCATTGTTGTAGGGAACATGAACTGTGAAGATGATATTTTCTTAGTCCTTTGCTTGGTTTTGTGAGTATTAATCTTACTTTATCTTGCATTAACTGTGCAGGTCTTTGCAAGGTTGATGAGACACCAAAAGGCTGGTACATTCAGTACATTGACAGGGACCCGGAGACTATTCGCAGGCAACAAGAGCAAGAGAGGAAGAAGAAACAAGATCTTGATGATGAAGAAAAAACTGCTAAATTCATTGAACAGCAAGTTAGAAGAGGTTTGGAGGGGAAAGAACTGGTGAGGAAAATGGCACTCTGTGTCAACCTTCAGCTCAAAACTCTTCTTGCTGAAGTTCAGGGTGAATTTGATGTTGCTGGTATCCTTGTACTGGTATTTTCCTTGGCAGTCAGTCAGAAGGTGATGAGTAACCTTCATGCCTCACGTTACAGGCTGATCACAAGTTCAAACTGGGAACCAGTGAGCATATTTGGCTGCATTGCTTTCTTTTCTAAGCCACAAGGAATAGTTTTCTCCCTGATATCTCTGACAGGAACCTTGACTGACTGATTTTTGTTGACATCACAGCTTGTTAACGTTTCCTTTACTAACCAACTTGCCAGTGTTTTTGACAGTTGTGAAACATAGGACCTCTATGAAATTACAGTTTCAATAAATAAATACATAAATAAATAAATAAATTAAAGAAAGCTGAAGTTTCAGCTCCTTTTAGATTTGAAGTGTTTTGAAATCTGGTAGAAATGTGCCCTGTGGCCCTGGTGTCTTGCTTCTGGCCATTTCAGACTTTGGTTTAGACTGTCTTCTTCCATGGTTGAAGTTCACTTATGTTCTGAATTTTCTGCTATGCAGTTATCTTAGATTGTCTATCTATTGTAACTATCTTAGATAGTTACCTTGGGAGAAAACTTGGTGTAATTTTGTACTTGGTTTGCTTTAGTACTAAGGGAGTAACAATTACTTCTCTTCAAGTGTTTAGTGATTTAAAAGTCAGTCTTGAGTTTAAGAAGGAAGAGCAAACAATACAGTAACCAGCAGGATGTCTTAATTTGTGGTATTTTACAACTTTTAAGGCTGCATATAACAAGTACCTTGTACAGTGGGAAGGCTGAGATAAATAACCAGGGGGATAATCTATCATAATCAAATCCATGTAGTACCACACTGCTGGTGTGGTTTTTGGGATCTATTTGGCATCATTCCATGAATTCCATACAGGTTGTTGCCTGGAACTGGAACCTCCCATTTGATTCTGGGTATTGATAGGTACATTTAAATGCTGTTGTAAACGATTATCTTTTTCTTAATTTAAAACTAATTGAAATGTAAATGGTCTGAGCCTCCAGTGTTAAAAATTTGGAAAGATTCCAGAATTTCCTTCTTTGTGTAATCAGTCTGTCCAGAAACCAGTCTAATCATGCTGGTTCAAACAGAGAAAACTAATACAATAAGGCCACTTTCCTTTCATTCTGGAATCAGGCAAGTTTAGACAGCATGTCTGTAGAGAGTGTTAATTAGAGAATTTTGCACAGAAAGCTGTAATGAGATCATGTTTCCTATTTATAATCTTCTTATGAGTCAAGCCAGGTTGAATATTACAGTTCCTTGCAATAATCTTGCAGAAGTCTGTAAAGCTGAGCTAATCAATGATCACCAACAAATGGTATCTTGGCTCAGTGTTCTGCTTGACTCTTAAGATGTGTTCTGTGTTCTTTTGGCAGGAAAAGCCAGTTTATACTGAACTGAACAGAGAAAATGAAGAAGAAAAAGGTAACTGGATTTTTATATATGTTATTTTCTAGAACCTACCAGAGCTGATTTTGTGATCAGAATGACATGAGCTCTGAGGTTTGCTCAGTGCTTCACAGAATGCTTTGAGATCACATACAAAGAGCACTGGAATATAGAAATACAGATAATTCTTTATTATAATGTTTAAAGTAATTTATTTTAAAAGCTGAACCAAAGCATAGATTAGTAAATACATTTCAAATTGATGGTATTTTCCATCTGCAGATTTTTAAAATGTTAACATCCTTCAATGTAGTTATATTTAAAGATAGAAATAGAGTAATGTCTTTTTATTTTTTAGTTACATTTAATTTAAACAAAGGAGCAAGTACTTCAATAGCAGCATCTTCTAAAACAAGGTGAGAAAAGAATTTAAGGGCAACCTTTACTGTTGCAAAGTGCTTCTCTGACAATATTTGTATGGGCAGAAAGATGTGTCTTGTCTTGAAATATTTGAAGTCCAGTATCTCATCCAGTCTTGTTGTTCAGGAGGGGATACTAGGTGACCTCATGGTTCCTTTTGTATTTAAAATGGACTAAAAGGTTTATCTTAAATGTGTGCTGTGAGAAGCCTTCTGGAATTCACCATGGTTGATGGCAGATGCCCATAAGGTAACAGGCAGTTACAGGGTCCTAGAAGATACCCTTGGGTGAAAGGGTGGATAAGGATCAAATCAAAGCATGTGCAGCATCTAGTCCCAGATGCCTTCTATTAATTCATGACTTCTTAATTTTGGTTCCTAAAATGTTTGATTGCCTTGTCTAACTGGAGGGAATACTTTCTCTGATCATCATTTAAGAAGCTGAATCTACTTGATGTAAATCTTTCCAAAGTTTGTGAATGTAACTGTCATAATAAAACCATGAGCAATGCAGGACAAAAGGGATCAATAATGCAAACAATGCTGACTTAGAGCTGTCTGTGAAGCTGTTTGATGAGCAGCACAGCTTCTCATGTGAGGCAATATAGTAATTAAATGTATTGCAGGTAAAATGAAAGCTTTTCTCTCATCATAAGCTCAGCTCTTAGATAAGGTATCTGATGGGAGAGATGCCAGGCAGAAAATGAGACAATCAAGTAGTTCTTTGCAATAGTAGGTACAGATTTCAGGCTTTGAGGAAAACTTGTAAATTATCTCTAAGCATTGAGTTGTGCTTAAGATGAGCCTGAAACTTAATGCAGACATTCACTTGAATAGTTTCAGTGAGGAATACTTAATATGCTTGCTACAGTTTGGCTGAATGTGAAATCATGTATAGAGTAGTGTTATTTTTTCATAGCATATGAGAGATGCTTGTCTGTAAACTTTGTAATGGTAGTGTAAAAGAAAAACTAGGATATCCAAATCCCAGTACAGGAGTCGCTTCAGAGTCACATGGGGAAACTGCTTCCCTGTGTCAGTGTAAAGGTGTCTTCTGCAGCTGTGAGATATGTTGGCTGTTAATGAGGGTCAGTTGTGTCAGCCCTGATGTCCAGCACAGCGTGCAGCAGGTCTCACTGGCTTCCCACCTTCTCTGTTCACAGTACAAGCTACAGAAACCTGGCACTTTTATTTCCTGAGCAGGGTGCAGAAAGAAGACCAGGAGGTTGTAGGTAGTGGATGGTTGATTCTTGAGGGCATGGGGATGCTGCTGTTTGGGTACAGAGATGGAGCTGGAGCTGAGAAGGGGAGTGGCAGGGGAGGTGCACCTTCCCTTGAACATCCGTGTGGCTGACACGAAGGTAGGAGTCACTATGGCTTCTGGTGCTGACTGCCCTTGGGCAGACTGGGAGCCCTTGGCTTTTTCCCCTCAAGAGCTTACATCCTCAAATCCCTGCTTAACTCACTCACTGGACAAGTAAGATTAGAGTTACTTCTCATTAAGGAATAAGTAAAAGCTACGATCAAGGTCAGTGTCTCCTGTCTGCTAGACTGCAAGTCTACCAGTGTACAATCCTGTCTGCACACTGATCAGTTAAGGTCTTCGCACTGGTAACTGTCACCTGTGATTATAGAATCATAGAATCACTGAATGGTTTGGGTTGGAAGGGACCTTAAAATATCATCTAGATCCAACCTCCCTTCATTGGCAGGGACACTTCCCACTAGATGATGTTCCTTCAAGCTCCTTCCAACCTGGCCTTGAACACTTCCACGGATGAGGCTTCCACAGCTTCCCTGGGCAACCTGTCTGTCTCACCACCCTCACACTAAAGAATTTCCTCCTAATGTCTAACCTAAATCTCCCCTCTTCCAGTTAATCCATTACCCCTTGTGCTGTTGCTACAAGCCCTTGTAAAAAGTCCTTCCCCAGCTTTCCTGTAGCCCCCCCTTTAGCCAGACCTCTTTCTGCTTCTGTTATTCTTAAAGAGCTTCCAGTAGGTAGAAGGTAATCAGAGCAACCTTTTCCGAAGTATGGGAGCTTGCATAATGTGCTTTTGAATTTTGCCTTTTCAAAAACATTATTTTTGAGATAAACCTGTCCCTTCTGGTTTTCTTTTTTGTTTCCTCCATATGTATGACAATTCCCAAACTAGGACAATGACTGAACTGAACAGTGTTGGTGGTTGTTTTTGGTCTCTCACTCTTTGTCCCAAGATCTGTAATGAATATCATAGAGTCACAGAACGGTTTGGGTTGGAAGGAACTTTAAAGATCATCTAGTTCCAATCTCCCTGCCATGGGCAGGGACACCTTCCATCAAACCAAGTTGCTCCAAGCCCCATTCAACCTGGCCTTGAGCATGTTGAGTTGGGTTTGTTATAGTATTGACACCCAGGAATCCCTTAGGAGACTCACAGCTAGATGTGTTTTCCTTCTTAGAGGTAGGCACTGCAGTTGTTCTGTTTTAATTGTATATTACCCTTTATGAGATTTTAAGTGCTTGCTATTGGATTTGTGATTTAATGTGCCTTTTCTTCTAGAGCTCTGCTTTGGACAGTCTTTCTCTGCAATACAATTATTTTGCTTTCAGTTTTGTTGCTACTGCTTTTCTGTGACTTCATTTCCATTATGTATCTTCCCTTTACTAGTACACTGAATGTCCTCACCACAGGCAGAACGTGATTTGTTGTAAGCTAATTAGTTGTTACTAATACTACCTTACCCTCCACCTCACAGCATCTTTTGAAATGAGAGAACAACTTAATTTTTTACTGCGTTTAAATGCCTTTTACAGAAATGCCTTAGCTCAAGCTGCCTTTAGGCAGTTCTCACTTTACCTAGATCTTCCCTGATCCCCAAGATATAACTTTTTGTGCTGATTCCTCTTTTCTTTCATAACTGTTGAGCTATTTTGATCATGGTTGTAAAGATGGTGTTTGTTTGCTGGGTGTGGAGCCCTTTTCTGCAGAGTCCTGTGTGTTTTCCCCCTCTGATGGATAGTTTAAGTATCACTGTCTGGAAGAAGTTCTAGACATCTACCATATTTGAGAGTTGCTCTGTCCGCGTGGCTTCTCTAAAGCTAGTAATTTGTCCTTCCAAATTTGAAAGCTTCATTTGCAGACCTGCTTTTTGCCTTCCCCACTGAACTTAAGACTCCAATCAACTCTTTGCTTTTGCCCCAATGAGCTGATCATTAGCTTGTTGTCATTTTACTGGGCTGCTAGCAGCAAACCTCAGTGAACATGGAGTTTGCACTTCAAGGAGATCAGTTTTAGCTGCCAAATGCAGTCCTAGAGAAGGAGGCATGCAGAGTCTGGAAGGTGACTTGCACAACTGAAATTAAATAGATCAGCAGGCCTTTTTGCACAACCAGCTCTTCAAATGCATCTTGGTAGAGAAGACAATTTAAGGTCTGCTGTGAAAACACCATCTTACTCTTCCAGCAGTGTCCTTGGACCAAATGCACTGAAGATGGTGGAAGGGGCAGTTAAAAGAAAAGAATCAGCTCATAGCTCTGGTCAGTCCAAAGAGAAAAAGAAGAAATCTGCACTGGATGAGATTATGGAGGTAATAATCATGCAGGATCTGTGTCTTTATAGCCCTGTGCCTATGGCTGTGCCCACTTTGCCAGTGCTTCCCTTTGAAATGACCTCAGACTTTCAGTTCACGTGGAATTCAGACTTTTTTATCTTATCTGGCAAAATTATTTCAAGTCCCCATTAAAACTGGTTTCTGCTGCTCATCTGTGCCTGTTCCCCAGACAACTGACATGTTGGAAGTAAAGAAATGCAGATTTTGGAAGAGAAGAAAATATGTAGAAACACTTGATGAAACCAGATATAAGTCTCCATAATTTTGTCATGGATTCCTGGATCTCTTCTGATAGTTTTTTATGCAGCAAGTACACACTGCACACTGACCTACTTTTACCTATTTTGGGGCTTTTTTTTATTCCCTACTTGATGTGGCCGTGGAGAATTGGTTCAGCTTTTCAAATGCTTGGGAAAAAGCTGCAGTGAAAGGAGGAAGTAAATGGTGATTATTTGTTGTTGTTCTGTAGCTTGAAGAGGAGAAGAAAAGAACATCTCGAAGAGACTACTGGTTACAGCCTGTAAGTGTCTTTAAATTTACTATAATACCAAGTGCAACCAATTCCTCATTTCTAAAGCTGCTATTGACTTGTGTAGAGATCCAAACTAAATTCACTCTTATTTTCCAACCTGCCAAATGTGAAGTATTACAGTATCTGGAACGAATTACTCTTCTGGTTGAGCATGATCTGCAATCTGAAGCATGGTGTGCTTGATCTCAGATGGGGTGGAATTCTCTGTGGAAGGGGTTGGTACTGTGAGTCTACAGATCATGTGTAACTACTTGTAAAACAAACAAACAAAAGTCTGAGAGACACTACTTTGAGGCAATAATTTGAGGATAAAGACAAGTTCCTGAATGCTGAGTCTTTACTGTCACTGCTTCCTGCACTGTGCTGTGCAGTCTGTGGTTGGACTCAGAGTGATCTGAACGTGCAGTTCAGTTTAGAGCATGAGTTTGTTTGTACATTTTGGCATTTGATTTATTTACTTATTTTTTTCTTTCAAATCTTCCAGGAAATAGTTGTAAAAATTGTAACAAAAAAGCTGGGAGAGAAGTATCACAAGAAGAAGGCAGTTGTTAAGGTAAAGTGTGCAAGTGGAAGCAGGTGGCATTGATGAAGCTTTTCCTGGTATCAGATGACTTCTGAAGTTTTGTTTCATGATTTAAGTTGTTCAGCCATAAGTGAACACTTATGGGCTGAAACTGTCACCTGAACTTTACTGGGACTTGTTCTGAGCAGGGAGTGAATCTCTGTATTGGTTTAGTGACATTTACTCAGCAGTTCTTTCTTCAGCACTGTTAACACATCCATCGTGGAGAATAGTCACTTTGTCAGCGTGATGTGACCAAGAGCAGTGCAATTGAGTTTTAATCTCAGACTATTTTTGCATGGGTATTTAAGCAGCAGAGCTGCCTTTCAACAAGATCCCATTTGTGTACAAAGTTGTCAAGCTGCAAGTCTCTCTCTGTTGTTGCTCAGAAGTACTTTCTTTTAGCCTCTGTCAGTGAATGATGTTGTGCTTGGTAGCCCAAAGCTCAGCAGTCTCTGGCAAAGGCACCAAAGATGACACCCAGGTGTGTTTTAAATGATCTACAAGAATGATAGAGCACAGAGTCACAGGTAGTTTTGGTAGGCATCTGGAAGGCTCTAGGAGTTCCAGTGGCTGTCATCCATGGAGCTCTGAACATGAGGTAGAACATGGTTAATGCTAGGTTCAAAGATGATCAGGGACAGTTGGCCTGATTGAGGCCAGTTGTCATTGTGCAGCTTCAACCCAGCATAACCTCCATAGGGGAAAGGAGCCTCTAATTTACTCCCCAGCTTTGAGAAAATAGTTATAATAGCTGACCCAGAGGTTGACAGAATCTGCACACAAGGTCAGCAAAGTTTGGTCAACTGGACCAGTCATTGATGGTCAAGAGGAGCCCTTTTAATCTGGGCTTAACTTCAGAATGGAGCTGGGCAGCAGTTTGTGAAAACTGGATGCCTTTAGCGCAGCTCAGAAGTACTTGCTGCTTTTGAAAATGTAGAAGTACAGACCTATGACCCTGAGTTTGTTAATTTTGAAATGTAAATTTAAAGAACTTAAAAAAAAAATATTCTGATTCACCTCTGCCTTTCATAACAGGAAGTGATTGACAAATATACAGCAGTTGTGAAGATGATTGATTCTGGAGACAAACTGAAGCTTGATCAGACACATCTGGAGACTGTAATACCTGCACCAGGTACAGCCATTTTCTTTGTTTCTCAGCTATCACTGCAAGACTCGTATCTCAGTTCTTTAAAACTGTAGTTCATCCATTTCCAAGTACCATAGCAAGAGTCATCTTGGGGCATTCTGTAAGCTACTCTGATAATTTACCAAATATCCTTTCCTTACTTTCTAGGGAATTGTTACACTGCTTCTGCTTGGAGTCTTCACAGTCATTCTCATAAGAATTAGATTATTTGCTGAGAAGTGCTTTAGGAATCAGTTCATTGGATGAGATGAAAGCATCTCCCTTCAGCTGCCAGGAAGCACCTCTGTGAACCCTACAGAGCTGTTGGTCATAATTATCCTGTATCTTCCCTCCAAAAGTCATGGGTCCTAGAGCTGTGGGCACTTGGCAGAGTTTACCTCATTTCCTTTTGTGTTCACTGGCATTTCTCTGGCCGACACATGCTGGTGTTTGTGTAGAGCATCTGACCAGTGCTTCAGGGAATGGTCAGGGTAGCAGTGAGCAGAACACTGGTCAGCATACAGGGAAAAAGCATGTAGGATTTGGGGATTCGCAGATTTTTCAGCAGACCTGATTCATTCTGCATTTCTGCAGCTGGTAAAGAGCTGGTTGAGGGTATCAGTGAGTGCTCTTTAGAATAATGTTACTTGTAGGTGAGCTTTGCCCACCCTTGCACTGAGAGTGATGCCCTGAGGAACTGCCTGTGTGAGACAGAAGGCAAAAAAGTACACTGAGCCATCCTTTTCCACAGCTTCCTGAGAAGGGGAGGTGGAGAGGGTGGTGCTGATCCTTGTTGGGATCCAGTGATATGACATGTGGGAATGGTTCAAAGCTGCACCAGGTGAGGTTTAGACTGGGCATTAGGTGGCATTTCTTTACAGAGAGGGTGGTCAAACACTGGAACAGGCTTTCTGGAGGGGTGGTCAATGCCCCAAGACTGGCAGTGTTTAACAGGCATTTGGACAATGGCCTTGGCAACATGCTTTAGCTTTTGGTCAGTCCTGAATTGATCAGGCAGTTTGAATAGATGACCTTTTTAGATTCCTTCAGGTGGAAGGGACAAGGGGCAGTGGGCACAAGCTTGAGCACAGGAGGTTCAAGTTAAACATAACGAAAAACTTCCTCACTGTGAGAGTGACAGAGCACTGGAACAGGCTGCCCAGAGAGGTTGTGGAGTCTCCTCTGGATTCATTCAAAACCGATTTGGACATATTCCTGTGTGATGTGCTGTAGGTGATCATGCTATGGCAGGGGGGTTGGACCAGATGATCTTCAGAGGTCCCTTCCAACCCTTATCACTCTACAAAATATTCTTTTCTATTCTGTTCTGTTCTATTCTGCTTTGGAAATGGGCAGGCTGTAAGACAAACTGGGTGCTGCTTCTGGAGCTGCTGGGAGAAACCTTCTCTCCTTCAGCTGTGAGTGGAGTTCAACACACCCACCATCAAAAGAAGTTGGGAGCCCTGCTGTGTAACTGTTTTCCTACTTCTCATTTCAGGCAAGAAAGTGATGGTACTAAATGGTGGTTACAGGGGAAATGAGGGCATCTTGGAATCCATCAATGAAAAGAAGTTTTCAGCAACAATCATCATCGACTCTGTAAGTAGCCAACACAGCAAAATCTAGTTGCTTAGAGCACTTTTCATCTCTACATGGGAGAGCTGTCATAAGGGAAGATGGTGTCATTAATCCTGGCTCACTGGGTGGCTGTATGGTAAATGCTGTGCTTACCCTCACTTGTTCCCAACCAGTAGGAAACTGCCACTGGAACAGGTTGCGCAGGAAGGTTTTGGCTGCCCCATCCCTGAAAGTGTTCAAGGCTGGGTTGGATGGGGCTCTGAGCAACCTGGCCTAGTGGGAGGTGTCCCTGCCCATGGCAGGGGGGTTGGAACTAGATGATCTTTAAGTTCCCTTCCAACCCAAACCTTTCTGTGATTCTATGATGTTCCCCATTGCAGACTAATGCTCTGCTGTTTGCCTTTACCAAGATGCCAAGATGCTTCATCTGGCAAGTTTTGAAAGTGAAAGAGTTGCAAAATTTTTTGTGTGTTCATTTTGAACGTGGCTGTTGTACTGTTTAGTAGGAAGGTAAAAAATGTGAAATATACAAGAAGGTGAATTTTCTCCTGCCTTTTTCAAACTGAACATGGGCCTTTTTGTACTTACTTGTTGTTTGTTTATGGTTAACTATTACGGTTTTGGGGTCTAAATTATTTTTTTAGGTAACACTTTTCTCTGGGCTAAAATTAGACCATGTCATGTCTTTTGTGTGGCTACTTCTTTGTTCTCCTCTGCAAAACTCATCTTTCAATTCACTGATCCAATAGAGAGGATATTGATTGGCTCAAAGACAAATTTCTTAAACACAGCTTGAAGGAGAGAGACCCTGTTAAGATCCCTCTAAAAGAAGGGCTGCAGAAACTCAACCCGTATTGGGTTCTGGAGAATTGGCTCAAGAAGAGACTGTGCAGGTGTCCCAGGCACAGAAGGAGCTTTGGCTGGAGCTAAGGATCATGATAATGTTGGTCTTGAAAAACAAGGGTAGTTCTTCTCAACTTCAGATGCATATGGATGTTAAGATTTCCCTCTCCTGCATGAACTCTGAGTCTATAAATTAAAAATGAGTGAAACTACTCCTGGAAACCAGTGAAGTCTGTGAGAGTTTTCTTATTGATGACCAGGAATTGAATATGTAATAATTTTATATTCAAAATTAAATATTTGACTACTTACAAGTTCACAGTGAATTAATTCAAAACAGCTGCTTGTGTTTGCTGCAGAATGACAGGGACTGTAACCAATTAAAAGTGTCCTGCAAGTGACAGGATTTCTGGGGGCAGCAGGTTGTTAGTGTTTTGGTTTTTTTGACAGAACCAGTTTCTGTCACATTCTCTGGTCAGGTTGAAAATAATGAAACAGGAAACATTGTTTCACATGCAAATCCCAAACCTGCAGTTTTTGGGATGCATTCTGCCATGCATCCCCTGGACAGCCTCCAGTGGGCAGTTAGTTACCTGTGGCTTTTGGACAGAGCACTTGAGCAGAAAAGTGCTTGTGCTTTTGCTGTGTGCAAGGGAGGCAACGTGAACTCCTCTGATTTCCAGTGCTGTGCACTTTGGCTGTGCCTCTTGAAAAATGTCTAAATGTGGCAAGATTTCTTACAGTGCCTTCAGCTATTTTACTTTAAGCTGCCTAGGAATTTAACAAATAAACAAGTTTATATTTTGATCTTACACCTTCTACTGTGCTATTTTTCAGGGACCTTTAAAAGGCCGCCGAGTTGAAGATATCCAGTACGAAGACATTTCCAAACTTGCCTAATTGTGGGTCAGAGAAGATTTTTGTTCCCAAAAACATCTTTCTGGCATCTTCCAGGCAGACACAAGACTCTACCATGTCAGGGTTTTAATTGTGTGTGTGTGTATGTATTTATAATGTATATAGAAATGTAAAGATCACTATGAATTTGTTACATAAAATGTTTGTGGAAATCTTATCAGTGGAAATATTTAATCTGATTCTCTATCAAAGATATGTTGTAATATTTGGTTGAATTTCTTTTTGTAAAATATAACAGGTAGCAGTTCTGTAAGAGAGAGCATTACCTACAAACAGACAGGACTTTAAACACATTTCTCGGTCTGCAGCCAGGATTTAATTTTGGCTGCAGGAACAAGGGAAGGGATTAAGTGAATAGCAAGAAGGTAAGAGTTCTGCAGGGGATTATTTCCCTGGATGGTGTAAGAATGGTTTGGTTTATTAAGTGCTGTCACCAAGTTATTTTTGGTTAGCACATCAGGGATAGTAGAATGGAAGTCATTACTCCTCTATCATCTTGTTTGTCAGGGTTCCTAATAGTACTAATATGCAATTGACCTTCAGATAGGCTCCAAGATGGATGTTACTTGTGGGGTTTCAAGTATGCCAGCCCAAATGTGTGCAGATAAGAACTGGTGATTCTGCTCTTTTTTTTCCTGAGTCTTTTCCTTTGTTCAAGCTTCATTTTTGCTCTGCTCCATGAGTAACATTGCTCCTGCTAAATTATGTAGCATCACTTTTATTTTTTTAAAAATGTCACGTTTTGTACAATGTTTAATTTCTAAGACAGTTCAGGAATAAACATAAACCTTTCTGAGGTCAGTGTGTCTCTTATCAGCCCTTTAAACCCCTGAGGAGCCTGTTGGTTCATATCCACCCAAGAGCCCAGTCGAGTGCCCAGCTGGTGCACTACCTGATCTGTGTAAAAGGAAGATACAAGTCATCCCAGGCAAAGTACAAACCATCTCCTGATGGCCCAGTTTTCTCCTGGCAAGGTTGTATGTCTCTGGGACCTGAAGGAAGGAAGATACACCCTGTACCCTTCAGAGGAAATACTGACTGATTAATGGGACAGAGTTTAATTGGAGGCCTGTATCTAGTGGAGTCCCTCAGGGGTCAGTAATGGGGGACCACTGTTATTCAACATATTCATCAATGAGTTGGATGAGGGAACAAAGTGTGCCCTTAGCAAGTTTACTGGTGACACCAAGCTGGGAGGAGTGGCTGACACACCAGAGAGAGAGTTGGGCTGCCATTCAGCAAGACCTGGACAGGCTAGAGAGTTGGGCAGGGCAAAATTTAAGGTAGTTCAACAAGGACAGGTGTAGAATCTTGCATCTGGGAAAGAACAACCCCAGGTACCAGTACAGGTTGAGGGCTGACCTGCTGGAGAGCCGGTTAGGAGAAAGGGACCTGCGTGTCCTGCTGGACAGGAGGACGACCATGAGCCAGCAATGTGCCCTTGTGGCCAAGAAGGCCAATGGGATCCTGGGGTGTATTAGAAAAGGGGTGGTTAGTAGGTCAAGGGAGGGTCTCCTCCCCCTCTGTTCTGCCTTGGTGAGGCTGCATCTGGAATATTGTGTCCAGTTCTGGGCCCCTTAGTCCAAGAAGGACAGGGAACTGCTGGAAAGAGTCCAGGGCAGAGCCACAGAGATGATTAAGGGAGTGGAACATCTCCCTGATGAGGAAAGGCTGAGGGAGCTGGGTCTCTTTAGCTTGGAGAAGAGGAGACTGAGGAGTGACCTCATCAATGTTTATAAATATGTAGAGGGTGAGCGTCTGGAGGACGGAGCCAGGCTTTGTTCAGTGATGTCCAATGATAGGCCAAGGGGCCAGGGGTACAAGGTGGACCATAGGAGGTTTCATGTAGTCATAAGGAGAATCTTTTTCACTGTTAGGGTGACAGAGCACTGGAATAGGCTGCCCAGAGAGGTTGTGGAGTCTCCTTCTCTAGAGACATTCAAAACCTGCCTGGACATGTTTCTGTGTGACCTACTCTAGCTGATCCTGCTGTGGCAGGGGCATTGGACTAGAGGATCTCCAGAGATCCCTTCTAACCCCTTACATTCTGTGATTTTGTGAATTTTTTAATGGAGTTTTCCATCCATTAAATCAGAGCCAGCAAGTGCAAGACACCTACTACAACCAAGGCTGTAACTTTATTACAGATTTCAATTTTTAACAGAAAAGGGAGTTAACTTTGCTTTGAAACACTGATCATTTCTAAAGCAAATGGAGGTGAAGTCGCCTTGGGTCAGTCTCACTTGATAGGCTGAGGGTGCCTGTTCAGAAGGGCTAGTTGGGCATGAAAGAGCAGAGAAATTTGTTTTGGTGCCAATCTGGTTTTGTGTTGGAGAATTCAGGGTTTCTTCAGGAAGCTGTAGAGGTGGGGGACCAGGTAATCTTTGTAGTTGCCATCTATGAACCCCTTCCCGCTGTTGTGCACAAACCAGCACTGCACGTCAGTCCCCAGCACACGGTCTGTCCTGTAGTCCTTCTGCAGCCCCCTGTGAGGAACAGGCCACCGAAAATGAAGGTCATGACATGTCAGCTAGACAAGAAGACATCAATCATCCTGCTCATTCATGACGCTGCTCTGCTGAAGTGGTGACATGTGCAACTTCCACCAGCAGAGGGTGGAAACAACCCCAAAATGCAATGAGTTTTACAGTTCTATGACTTTGTGGGCCTTTTGTTCAAGTCTCAGGTGCTTTTACACAGCCTGTCCAGGGTCAGATGATGGGCAGCTGTATAGTCAGAACTGTTTATGTGCAAATATGAAGGAACCCAACTTGTCCCAAGTGTTTTGCCAGCAGCTAAACCAAATTTATTAGCAGAGGGCAAACAGCAATTTCCCCCCCTGAGATCATTGAGAGTTAATACGCTCATAGTCATTGCTGTCATTAAAAAGAGAAATGAGTCAGGTTTAGAAAGAGAGCAGTAAAGCACATTATTCTCACCCTGTAACAGTGAGTTTGTTGCCTTTCACTTCCATGGTGGCTTGTGGTTTCTCTGGAGCTTGCCCAGGTCTTCGGTGGTGGATAAACACTTCTGGTTCAGAGGCAAACTGGCCTGATCAAAGAGAGGTTTAAAGCTCTGTGCATGTCCTCACCTTTGGGACTCTCATGTGAGCTGCTGCTGGGCACTTTGGGAAAATCAGAGTAGCTGCAGCAGGGAAATCCTGCATGGATCACAGGGCACCACATTTCCATTGTTATCACATCACCCACTCTGGGAAGGTAATAAGCTCTGCTTCTGAGCCAGCCAACTTCTTGTAGTGAAGCAGAATGGAGCTGGGAATAGTATTTGGGAAAAGAACTTCTGCTGCTCAGGATTCCCACATCTTAATGGGAGCTTTGGGTGGGTCCAGGGCATGGAGGGTAGATGTGTTCAAGGAAAGGCTGGATGTGGCACTTAGTGCCATGGTCTGGCTGATGTGGTGGTGTTAGGTCTTAGGCTGGACTTAATGATCTTAAAGGTCTTGGTGATTCTGTGATTTTGTGATTTTCCCTGCCTGCAGCAGATTAGCCAGGTTGGAAAAGCCCTGTCAGAGGCACCAAGTCTAGTTAGGCCTCTTTTGAAGAATACACCCACCCCTCTGGGACAGGAATAATTTCCTGGTCCCTGTTCTACAGTGTCCTTGGGGCTTCCAGGACACCACAGGAATCTCCTTTTTTTCCTATTTGAATAATTTTCACGCCTTCCCCATCAGGACACTTGCACCAATTAATTCACTCAAAGATCCAGCAAAAACCCTTCCTAGTGCCCAGCTCTTCCCACCACTTGACCTGCAGCCCTTACCTATCAGCCCATGGGCTGCAGAAGACAACTGGTTTTCAGGGGGAATGTAGATTCCCAGGAAGTCAACATTAACTGGATGATTCTTCCACACACGGTGTAGCAAAACCAAGAAGGACATCTCCTCACCCACGGTGACAGTAACATTGCTTTCCTTCTTCACAGATATGAGGAGTCTAGCAGAGATGAACCAAGGAAGAGCTCAGTTCAGCTGTTCACACACAAGTTCTCAGGTCCCTTGAAATGCTCTCAGGCATCCAGAACAACTACACAGGACTGGCAGGTATGACAGAGGATCCATGAGAAACCCACAGCCTTGGGAGACTGGCAGGATGGTGCCTGATAGGACAGACATTTTGTGCCCTTGTCCAGGCAGCCAAATCTTACCCTACAAATTTAAGCTCTTGCTACAATGAATGGAGATTTTGGAAGTGATCCCATTGCCTGAACAGATGTCTAGTGCTGTGAGGTGTCCAACATGGCTAATAGCTGTTAATCTGCAGGTGAAGGTCTCATGCATGTGCCTTCCATCATGGCAGGAGCCCTGAAGGTATCTCAAATCTCAGGTGCTTGTGTTTAGGCAACTGAATCCTGGTCTCAACTTTCTGCAGTGTCTAGTCAACTGAATTGCTCTCTTGGCCCTGCTGTCTAACTCCATTAATCATAGCAAGAGGTCAGACATCTAGCTAGGATCCATTTGCCCACGTGTAGACACCCTGAGACCTGGATCCCACTTGTGGCTGGGTCAGTCCAGTGCTGTGTTGCAGGTGGTTTTGTGAGGGCAGACAAGAAATGCTGAGCCACTTACTGTCTGCGAATGATGTGCCCGGTGTCAGCCCAGGTCAGCGTGACGCCAGAAGTTCCATCTTTCAGTGTTATGGTTTCTGTGGTGATCTCCACTTTCAGGCCTTTGGTTTTGAAGTAAAACCCGATTTTTCCAAAGTATGTGTTGAGCTTTTTATTCTGAGGCTTCTTGGCCCCAACCAGCTGCCCATTGACCACAACTCCTGTGAAGAGCAGAGAAGCAGATGTTGCCCAAATCTGGAAACACCAGCTTGATACTGGAAGTTCTGATCTCAGCAAGGATCAGCAGAAACAGGCTCCTCCTCCCTGTTTTTCTCAATTTTGCCAGCCAAGAGAAGAGAATAATTCACTCCTCATGCTTCTGTTCACCCCTAAGCATATCGATCTGGTGGGGATCAGTGTTGGGTCTCTCTGGTAGACTGAGCTGATTCATAAGTCACTGGGTCCTTTGCTGTCTGAGCAAAGGCACAGGGCAGCTGGGCAGGGGATAAATGGTACCACATTTCCAGCTTAACCTGCTCCAAAATGCTCATTGCTTTTCATATATACTCCAGAAGTTAAAGAAATGCTAAAGCCCTCTGAGAAGAAGAGGCTGAATCCATTTGATTCCTTTTGGAGCATAATTGTACATTTTTTCTCCTGCCACCAGGGATGCC